TCAGTACAGTCAGTAACGTAGCAGATTGAAAAGTAAGTATCTTTCTGCAGTTCAATAGATGGCAGTGCGGTGGTGGCTTGAGTCTGCTGAATGGTGATTTAACGCTACGTTGTCACCTAGTTGGTGAGACTCAGTGCTAAGTAAATAAACAACAATGTCCCCGTCTTTTACTCTGGCAATGAGCTTATCATATTCGTTTGCTACATTAGTAGGGCCCAATGATTTCCGCGATGCAGAAAACATGGACGGAATCGCGGAATCCAGTCATAAAAACGGAATTTACTGTATAACGCGGAATTTCATGGAATTTGTCTTATTTTTTGATGAATAAATAAAAAACAGGTCAGTACACATAAATCAAATCACATAAATATTAAACTGCAAAAAACTATTTTAAATACGAATCCTCATGTTCTGCATGTTCATTTGATTACCAGAAAATACACAACACAATTTGTGAAAAAAATATTCATTATTATTATTTATTCATTTTAGATGTTTACATTTGGAAAAGCTGTGCTTCCTGCATAAACCTGCCCCTGTTGGTTTGGCAGTAGCTTGCTTGCCCTACACAGTTACCTTGTTTATTTTCTTAATTAAAGTTGTATATATTTCTTAATTCAAGTTATATATATATTGTTCTATTTGTGTTTTTGTGTTTAAGTTATTTATAATAAGTGAAGTTTACTGTTAAGTGCACTGATGTCAGACTCATTTTGAATAATAAAGTTTATTGTTAAATTGTTAAATACCCTGCTTCCATTACATAGGCCTATTTGTCACCAAGTGACACAAGTGTTTGATCACCACATTTGAGTTATCATTGCAAAAAATTTGTTTATGTATATATATTCTGTTTATGTAAATACTGTATTCTATATACAGTACCAGTCAAAAGTTTGGACACAAATGGGAAGTGTCTCCAAACTTTTGACTATACTGTACTGTTATATAGCCTACACAAAGAATATCAGCCGAATATCGATATCGGTCTTTTTTACTCCCTAATATTGGTATCGGCATCGGCCCCCAAAAAACCCATATCGGTCGGGATCTAGATTTCTGGCCTATATTTAACATAAATGGTTCATACAGAACTATTTTCAGCTTTATATTTGGTATATATTACAGTCATCTATAAATATTTTTATTTTTTCATGTTTTTTTTTCATTGATATTCTTGAAGTGATAGAAACATACAAGTGAACATACAGAGACCTTAAAAAAAATTTTTAAAAAATGAATAAAAAAAGACTTTTGCATGCACACAAGAAACTTTTTTGTGCCCTCGAGAAACTATTCACATGTGCATGGGAATTTTTTTGCATGCTTACACAATTTCTAGTTTTATATAACCCATTTCCTTTGTGCATCACTGCCATCTTGCTATAAATAAAGCAAGAGCATGGATGAACATGAATTAATAGAGATCTACTTGCTCAAAATTTGGCTTTTCTTACTGTATTACCTCTAATATCAAGGCATAACGTCCAATTTAACACATCCTCTGTGGCAGCGCAGAAACCATGCAACAAAATGGGCTGATGGCATAAAATTTGCCAAGTTCAATGGTCTCTAAAAAGAGTGGCACTGTAAAAAGGTGTTTGAAATTTGGCTTTCATTAGGGCAAACCACCCAACAAAATGGGCTGATGGCACAATAGGTGGCTCAGTGTGCATTGTCCTATATGTTAAGTTTAATGGTTCCTTGTGTGCACATAAAAGTCTGTATATTTTTCATTTTTGAAAAGGTCCTTGAGGCTATGTAATACGGTGCTAAGAATAAAGTGAGAAGAAACAAAATGCTTATAACCTGCATTTTGCATAATGAAAAAGTGCACCTTGAATTCATTCAGTTGTATTTTGACTTTGACGTGTTGTACAATAAATATATTTTCATTAAATTCTTAATTTTCTATTATAAAAAATACTAAATGGGCGCACATAAAAGTCTGTATATTTTTTATTTTTTCAAAGGTCTTTGAGGCTATGTAATATGGTGCTAAGGATATTCTTGAGAAGAAACCCAAAATGCAAAATGAAAAAGTGCACCTTGCACCAAGCGCACCAGTCGTGTTTGACAATCACTAAACAGCTGCCACTTCTTGTATGATAAACTTATTTTCATTAAATTCTTAAATTTCTACTATAAAAAACTAAATAGGGGCAAAATTCTGGAAATGCAAATATTTTTCCATACTCCGCTTTTTTTTCCATACTTTTCCAAACCCCGTAAGGAACCCTGTTACTATAAGCTTGAGTGAAAGTGAAAATATAAAAATAAAAACATTCCACATAAACAAATTATTTGGTCTCTAAATGCACTATTCCATTATGAAAAAAACAAAAGTCATAAAATAGGTTACAACTAAAAGAAGGCCCTTGTCAAGAGTGGGCAATGCATGAATTCAAATGCATGGTAACTGTACACGCAAAAATTTTATTTGGGTAATATAATGATGTGGTGTTAATATGTACAGAAAACTTACTTGGAGCATTTATAAGCATTGTCCCCATCAAGTTGCTCAGGCTTAACAAATTGCTCAAATGCCTTACTGAGTGTCTGAGCCGTCTGCAAATAAACATTAAAAAAAATCACTATTGTAACCTCGCTAAAAATTACTTGCTTCAACTGTAAGATAAATTTGTCAAGAAACCTTTCAGTCACCTTTATCTCCAGTGAAATATCCAGGTATGGGTCAAAAGTATCCGAGACTGCTTTGCAATTCAAACATTTGACTGTGAAAAAAAATGCATTGGGATCAGCATTTGTAGACATTCTAAACTCTTTTGGGGTTAGACAACACATGTCAGGACCTACTCATTGTCATAATCATACATTAGATTTAATACGATCACATAATACTATCTCAGATCATTATCTGGTCTAGTGTATACTCCATATAGCTAAAGCTGCAAATTCAACTCCTTGTTACAAATATGGTAGAACCATCGCTTCTACAACAAAAGACTGCTTTGTAAATAATCTTCCAGATTTGTCTCAGTTCCTCAGTATATCCAATAGCTCAGAAAAACTTAATGGTGTAACAGAAACTATTGACTCTCTCTTTTCTAGCACTTTAGACACAGTCGCTCCTTTACCCTTAAAGAAGATTAAGGAAAACAGTCACACCGTGGTTTAACGAGCACACTCGCACCCTAAAGAGAGCAGCCCGGAAGATGGAGCGCAGCTGGAAGAAAACAAAACTAGAGGCATTTTGTATTGCATGGAGGGAAAGTTCTTCTACATACAGAAATGCCTTAAAACTGCTAGATCTGCTTACTTTTCGTCTTTTAGAAGAAAACAAACACAACCCCAATTTATTTATTCAATACAGTGGCTAAATTAACAAAAATAAAGCATCTGCAGGCGCAGACATTTCCCAACAGCATAGCAGTAATGACTTTATGAACTTTACTTCCAATATACTATTAGAGATAAAATAATAACCATGCAGCTGTCAGCTACAGTATTTCATCAGACAGTACACTCTGAGGAACAATTTCACTCATTCTCTGCTATAGGGCAGGAAGAAGTGTATAAACTTGTAAAATCACCTAAACCAACAACATGTATGTTAGATCCTATACCATCTAAGATACTAAAAGAGGTGCTTCCAAAAGTCATAGATCCTCTTCTGAATATCACTAATTCCGCACTGTCATTAGGATATGTCCTAAACACCTACAAACTGACTGTTATTAAGCCTCTCATTAAAAAAAAAACACAACTTGATCCTGGAGAATTCGTTAATTACAGACCGATCTCAAATCTCCCTTTTCTGTTAAAGATACTAGAAAAGGTAGTCTCCTCACAACTATGTTCTTTCTTAGAGAAAAATTGTATCTTTGAGGATTTCCAGTCAGTATTTAGACTGTATCATTGTACAGAGACTGCTCTCATCAGAGTTACAAATGACCTGCTCTTATCATCCAATCATGGTTGTATCTCTCTATTAGTGCTACTGAATCTTAGCACTACTTTCGACACTATCGACCACAACATTCTTTTGAATTGACTAGAAAATTATGTTGGCATTACTTGAATTGCATTGGCATGGTTCAAATCATACTTATCCTGACCGTCATCAAATCATATCATTGAATGAAGAAGTATCATATCGTTCACACTTGTGCAGTATTGAGTACCACAACAGCCCTCTACGAACACCTTGGCAATTGAATCGCCATTGGCTAGTAAATTTTTTAGTTTACAAAGGATTAATGAGCTACTGGATTCATGAATAATAATCAGGTTGTGTGCGTTCGCTCGAACTGATTTGCTGAAATCAAAACAAGGACGATAATAGGTGAGCGCCAGCCAATGAGATTGCCGTTTGCGCATTAGTTCCGCCCACTACCGGAGAAAGCTGTAGTTCTTAAAAGCGGAAGAATTCCAAAGGAACTCCGTTATTTTGACAGCAAAATACAACAAAGAATATCGTTTACATGTAGCGCGCATAGGTAGCGCGTCAATTCTCTCTCTCTCTGTGTGTGAGAGACAAAGCGACGGCGAGTCGTGCGCCGTTACACTAGAGTTTACGGTACGTCAAACACAGGTGCGCTGCGCAGCCATTCAGATGAACTGAAAAACAGCACAGATCGCTTGGCGGAGAGTAGTGATTGGAAGTTAGGATCATTTTACTTAGTCGCACAGAGTGAAGATTTAGTCGCATATGCGAGTGATTTACTCGCAATGTAGAGGGTTACACAAGGCTCAGTACTAGTAGAGGTCGACCGATAGTGGATTTTACCGGTACCGATAGCTAGGTTGAACCACACTGGCCAAAACAGATTAATCAACCGATATATTTTTTTAAATGGATACTGTACAAAAACAAACAAAAAAAGTGCTGAATCATACTTTGTAAATGAATATTAATATTAAATACTAATTATATATTGATCATTAAAGTTAGTTCATTAACTAATGTTAACAGAAGCGACTTCAAAATTTTAAAATGTATTAGTAGATGTTTAAATTGACACACTAACTAGATGGCCATCTTTAAATATCTACACAAAGGCCATATCATTGAAATTACATACATATGGATATTGTATGTATACTCTTGCACTTTAATTGCTTCTATTCTAGAACACTTGTTGATTATCTAATCAAAATAACAAAACATGGCAGTCACACACTGGGCAAAAAGCGAGGCAGCAGACAACTTGCAGACATCACACACACCGGATGCGTCGCCTTCAATTCAAGCGGCGGCCTAAATCAGTTATTTAGGGTGCGTTCACACATATAGTTTGGTTCTCTTGGTTCGTTTGGTATGGACCAAAAAAGAAAATTATACATTTGGTCCTGGTCTGCTTAGCTTTCACACTGGCATTTTTGACAGCGAACCTAAAGATACCGAACCTAAAGGCATAGTGATACGTTCACAACCTGATTAGTCTGGTTGAATGACATATATTTCTCGACAGAACTCAGCGAACACCCCAAACAAAAGCTGTGTTCGACTTAAAGCAGCGCTGCACAGACCAAACGGTATGACATCAAAGTACCCATTCACCGATCGGTCTGCTCAGCGCCGCTGGACTAAACGCGCTTATTGCTACGTGTATTTATGATTTTATTTTCACCACCTGCGAACTCACGAAGACCTCATAAAAGGCACTTTACCTCCTCGTTGCTCCACGTTTGCCCTCTGCTCATTTTGTTTTGGATACACCGCTCATTCCGCGTCGTCAAATCATGTTGCATAGCGTCGCATCTTGTCCTTTCTTCCTCTTTTTTGTTCATT